TTGGGGCGATATAGAATGTTACGGGCCACTCTGTGTCTTTTGTTGTGCCAGATAAAGCGGTCAATGGCCTGCTGTAAAGGCTTTAGGTCATGTTTCGTTATGGGAATGGGCAAGGCCTGGAATAGGAAAAGGATACGGGGTAGGATGTTCATCTTTACTGAGTGTATCCTTCTGATCCATGATATGGGTTTGTCCGCCCAGGTCTCCATGTCCGTTATGAGTTTAGTGATTATCAAGGAATAGTTAAGTTGGTGTAGTTTCGTGAGATCCGCCGGCAGTTTTATGCCGAGGTAGGAGAGGTAGGTCGGTGTCATGCGTATGTGGTAGTCTGACGTGATTTGGGTGGTCTCATTCTGTGTGAGTAGTAGTGGGAGCGCGCTGGATTTCTCCATGTTGACTTTGTAGCCTGATATTGCACTATAGTTCCGCAAGAGGGGCATTAGTGCGCGCATGGAGTGGGTGGGGTTAGTTAATGTGATGAGGACGTCATCCGCATAGGCGGACACTAGGAACTCTTGGTCTGTTATCTTTACCCCTGTAACTTCGGGGTGTTCTCTGATCGCCTGTAGAAGGGGTTCGAGTGTTAGTACAAAAAGTAACGGGGATAGGGGGCACCCCTGTCTAGTACCATTATAGATGTTGAATCGTGGGCTGTTCGACCCGGTCAGCTGTATTTGGGCTGTCACGTCCGTGTATAGTGCCCGTACTGCTGTGATGAAGGTGGGGGGTATGTTTAAGTGTTCCAGCAGCGTGAACATGTATAGCCAGTTCACCCTGTCGAACGCCTTTTCAGCGTCTAGGGAAAGGGCTATCGCTGATGTGTTGGTTGTAGTGAGTGTCCATATTATGTCTATATTTCGTCTTGTATTTTCAAATAGCTGTCTGCTGGGGATAAACCCGACCTGGTCTGCATGAATGAGGCGTGTGAGGTGCGGGTTTAGTCGTGTCGCAAGTATTTTTGCCAGAATTTTACTGTCATGGTTTATTAGTGAGATGGGTCTGTATGCTTCTGGTAAGGTGTGGTCCTTGTCTGGTTTAGGTAGGAGTATGATGTGTGCTTGTGTCATGTCTTTGGTAGGCGGGGTCCCCTCAAGCAGTTCGCGGAATAGGGTCTCCATGTGTGGGAGCAATACTTCGCGAAAGGTTTTGTAATAGCTCCCCTCGTAGCCGTCAGGGCCCGGGGCTTTGTTGCTCTTCAGGGAGGATATGGCCAAATTGATTGTGTCTTTGGTGATTGGGGCTGATAATTCCTCTATGGCTGCAGTATGGAGTTTGGGTAGGTTGAGGCGCGTTAAAAATTCTGACGTCCTCTGGCAGGCTGTCTGAGTGGGTGTAGAGCCTTGGGGGGTGTGCCCACACCTCTTTTTCAAATGGGCACCTCCATCCTACATGTCAGCTATTGTTACAAACTCTGCCCTTTGCATGTAGCAGTCATCATGTAGAAAGCATAGTGAGAAATGGAGTAAAGAAATGTGAATAAATAAAATAATGTTTCCATTTATTCTCATTATTTGCTATGTTAGCTCGGTATTTGCAGAGTCTGAACTGTATTATCTGTAATGTACATTTAAAAAAAACAGAACATCTTGGGAAAAAAGGTTAACACAAGTTATGTGATATTCAATGTTTTACTCATGTGTTATTCAACACTTTTAATTCCAGAGCAGGGCCAGTTCTCCTTTAAGATAGTTTATTTCACTTTACATTGATTGTGTATTTAATTGTATAATACTAGTCATTACATATTCTACTATTATTAATTCAATATCGCTTTACAGTGTATATCTTTTTAAAACACATACATTTGTTTTTATCTCATTAAAGTGAAATGAATATACCATATTTGTTTTAACTATAGATCCTAGTCCTAAACTGTTTTTGAACTTATTATATAATGTTATATTAGTCAGGAAAATAGTAAAATGTAAGAAAATGCCAACACCACTGAATTTACCAGTTACACCCTTTTTTTTTTTTATTGTATTCAATTACAATATTTATCACACCCATCTCTTCTTGAGAATTTTCCTGCCTTATTAAATGTTACACATCAACCTTAATACTTGGCCGGAATGTTAGTTATTCCAAAACAGAGATTCCCTAAAGTTGCCAAATTATGAATTAGCTACTCGTTTACTAATGTGTGGACACGTTCCATTATAACTTTAAAAGACTGTTTTGTTTTTTTTGTTTTTTACATATGCTCTCTGTGTTTCACTCCATTTCTTGCATGCAATTTTCTATAGTAATCCCTCTCCAATTCTGCTACTAAGAAAATGTAGTTTTGAGGTTCATACTTTCTTGCAATACATATCTGAGTATAATAAGACAAAATGAACAATTTTGTCTTATTATACTCAATTTTAGCTCAAAGGGACACTATAGACAGCCAAACAACTTTATCTCGTTGAAGTGGTTTAGGTTCAGTGTCCTTGTCACCTTAACCCTGCAATGTAAAACACTGCAGTAACAGAGAAATTGCATGTTGATATTAAAGGGTTAAGACTGCTTCTAATGGCTGCTTCTAATTCAGACAGTCACTAGAGGCACTTACTGGATTTTCACAGAGTTTAAATTACGTTTTGCATGAGGACGTCCCGCATCTTGCAAAACCTCTATAAGAAAACATTGTTACAATGCTTTCCTAAGGGGAAGTCCTGATGTGCCTGGAGTTTGCCAAGCATGTGCACTAGGTTCCCCCTTGCACTGAGTGCTATATGTGTGTATATATATATATATATATATATATATATATGTGTGTGTGTATATTGATCAGTGACAACATAAAAGCCACTTTCAGGTGAAGTGAACAACATTGATTATATCATTAACCCCATCGCGACCAAGGACGTATCAGGTACGTCCGACAAAAAATGGTCCTTAAGCAGCTCTAATGGTATTGCAGTGATGCCTCCTGGCACGATCGCTTCCGGGTTGCTCCATGTGGAGCCCGGCAGTGAGGCAAAGCATTGGAAGCCATCATGCAGGCAATTAGGTAATTTTATTGATTGCAATTTGGGGGTCCAGCTTGACAACCCAGGCCAAAAGTCCAGATAATTAAATTTGCTAGCACTATATTTAACCCTGTAACTTTCCAAGACACCCTAAAACCTGTACATGGGGGGTACTGTTTTACTCGGTAGACTTTGCTGAACACAAATATTAGTGTTTCAAAACAATAAATCACATCACAGAGATGATATTGTCAGTGAAAGTGACACTTTTGGATTTTTCACACACAAACTGCATTTTCACTGATGATATCATTGTTGTAATACTTTTACTGTTTTGAAACACTAATATTTGTGTTCAGCGAAGTCTCTCAAGTACCCCCCATGTACAGGTTTTATTGTGTTTTTGAAAGTTACAGGGTCAAATATAAGGCCATTTTTCACATAGAAATTTGCCAGATTGGTTATGTTGCCTTTGAGAGTGTATGGTAGCCCAGTAATGAGAATTACCTCCATGATGGCATACCATTTGCAAAAGAAGACAACCCAAGGTATTGCACATGGCCAAACACTGGCCAAAGTTAGCATTCATAATGTTTTTTTTTAATTTTTAACACACAAACAAAAATAAATGCTAACTTTGGCCAGTGTTTGTGACTAAGTGGCTACTAAAAAAGACTGGACATACCCCATATTAAAATACCCTGGGTTGTCTACGTTTCAAAAATATATGTTTTGATGGGGATAGATTCCAAGTTGGAAAACTGGAATGCGCCCCCTCCAAATAAGGTCTTTTAGCCCCCAGATAACCCGACACACCTATACATGGGTGGTATCACTGTACTCAGGAGATGTTGCTGAACACATATTGGAGTGTTCTTTTGCAGTAACCCTTAAAATTCTCAGTACATATATTCTTAAATTGCTATGTGTGTCAAAAAAATCACCAATTTTTTTTTTTTTTTATAAATGTGGCATAGATTGTGGTAAAATGGCTACATGAAAAGAGTCAAAATACCCCAGGGTTAATACCTTAGGTTGTCTTCTTTTAAAAAAATATATACATGTTAAGGGTTATTCATGGATTCCTGACAGATATCAGTGTTACAATGTAACTTTAGTTAATTTTGAAAAGAAATGGTTTGGAAATAGCAAAGTGCTACTTGTACTTATAGCTCTATAACTTTCCAAAAAAAGCTAAGAACATTTTAACATTGGATATTTCTAAACTCAGGACAAAAGTTAGAAACTATTTAGCATGGGTGTTTGGCAGTTGTAGATGCGTAACAGATTATAGGGGTCAAAGTTAGAAAAGGTGTGTGGTTTTTTTACCATTTTTTTCATCATATTTTATAAAAAAAATGTAAGTCAATTATATGATATGATGAAAATAATGGTATTTTTTCTTATAGATCAGGGTCGTGTGCATCATTGAGATGGCAGCAAGATACACCATAGGAAGAAGACAAGTACCACCAGATTGTTGCAGACCAAGTGCATCCCTATATAGTAATGGCATTCCCTGATGGCAGTGGCTTCTGTCAGCAGGATAATGCATCATACCACACTGCAAAAATTGTTTAGGAATGTATTAAGGAACAAAAAGTACAAGGTGTTGCCTTGGCCTCCAAATTCCCCAGATATCAATCCGATCTTGGGGATGTGCTGGAACAACAAATTCAATTCATGGAGGCCCCAAGTCACAACATGCAGGACTTAAAGGATCTAATTTCTTCGTGCCAGATACCACAGACGTCTTTAGGAGTCCATATCTCAGTGGGTCAGAGCTATTTTGGCAACACGAGGGGGTCCTACACGATGTTAGGTTGGTGGTTTTAATATTGTGGATATCAGTATATATACAGTAAATTACTCCCTAGTAAAGTACTCTCTTTAGTCCCTATACTACTCTAACACACTACAATATGCAAACATAACTAAACATTATAATAAAGAAATTTGGGTGAGAGCACACACTAGAAAAATACAATGTTACCAAAAACTTGAATAACAGTTCAAACCTGAAAAAATATAAGAAAGACAAATCATAGTGTATCAACTAATACATTGATTACTGTGGAAAGAGAGAATCAGTCCCACTCACACAAGCAAACTGGCTCTGGTTATAAAAGGCAAAAAAAAAAAATAACACTGATAGAATCCTTGCTACTGGCCCAGTGGTAGTTCCTCTATATGGTAGTTCCATTTCTTCTCATGCTGCGGCTGCTTCCTAACTCACAGTGACTTCCAACAGACGTATGTGTTCTTGTGCCATCTTAATTGTGGTAAATGTCCTAATTGTTCAGTAACACTTGCAAAAAAGCATCTTTTATTAAGTATATGGAAATTTATACTTGTAGTCTCTTTTTTTGTTGTTGTCATATATGTTTTTATTAGTTTCAAGGAATTGGTGTACATACATGCAGTAGTGTCATAATGGAACGGAAGTGGCATCACACAATCACCGTAAGTCAGCTGACAATAGTACAATTTTCACTTATTCAAATAAATGCTTAACATAAATGCTGAACATACATTCTTTAACCTTCTTGTAGCTTATTTACTTATATATCTCGATGAGCAGATGACAAGCGGTCGGCGCCTCTGCACCCTAATCACTTATGCATTCTTGGAGTGTGTTTACCTGAATCTTATATCTTGTGTGTCGTGTATGATGGCACCAAGATGGGGTAAGGGGTTTGCAAAACATTGAACTGGGAATAACAGGGATATACTAGTGATGTACCAGGGTTTATATTATGCTGTGTAGTGTCTCGTGTGGTCATCTGTGCCCTTTACAGCTTGGTGTGGGGTTGCCATTGGTTCTAAAGTGTGTTGAAGTCATGGTCCTGTCTTTATTTTTGTGACTTAATCAGCTATGCCACAATTTCTCGTGTTGCTGTGCCATCCCCCTTATCCTCATGGACATCTGCTCATAAAGGCAAATATTGTCTAACCTCTTAGAGACCTCCTCCAAGAGAGGCTATGGTGGTTTCAACTGCGGTTAGCAGATTGATAATTAGAGTGGAGTGCGGATTATGGGTCATGTTGGGCAGTGTGTGAAGCAAGTAGCCCTCAGAGTGATAGGGATGTGACAGCGTAAATAAGTTGTTGTACTGTGGACCACAAGGGTGTAAGCTCCTGACAGTCCCAGAATATATGCTGCAATGTGCCTGGTGCTTCCCCGCATCTCCAGCATGTTGGGGATGCTGTGGGATATATCTTAGATAGTTTATGGGGCACCAGGTACCAGCGCAAAGTAATTTTGCAGTATGCCTCCCATAGGGAAAGCTCCTAGAAGATTTCCTGGTGAGGGTGATGGCCTCATGCCATTGCTGTAGTGTAAATTCTTTACCCATATTCTTTTCCCATTGAGTCAAATATGAGAGGTTATGAAGCACATTATTTTCCCCTAGAGCAAAGTAGCAAGGGTTTTATAGACCGGGAGGTCAATATGTGGTGTGGGGACTGTGTAACGGGGCGTGAAGCACACCTTTCCTCAGGTCTGTGGGTTTTCAAGATATTCTTGATCCTCAGGTAGAGGAACATATCCTTGGGAGTAAGGGAGAATTCCTCCTGTAGGGTCGGTAAGAATTTCAAAGAGGCCCCGCTATAGAGGTCTCCCACCCTGACGATGCCTCCAGGCATAGTACGAAAATTAATGGGGAGATGGGACATCCCTGGTGAGTGTCGTTACGAATATTAAATGATGATGATAAGAATCCTGAACTGAATACTTTAGCAGATGGGTTCTGGTAGAGGGTGGGGACACTGAAGAGGAATGCTGGGGGAAAGCCCATTCTTGCGAACGTCAGCTGCATGTACCTCCAGTTTAAGCAATCAGATTTTTTTCAGCGTCAAGCACAAGAATGATTCACTCTTGACGTGATGGGTGCGCCCATTCTTTAAGACTTATGAAGTGTCTAGTGTTGTCGCCCACCTGTTTCCCAGGGACAAATTCCGCTTGTTCTTCTGAAATTAGTGTAGGGAAGAGTGGTTTGATTCTATTTGCTAGTAGTTTGGCATACAGCTTATTGTCAGCGTTGAGTAGTGAAATAGGTCCTAAGTTAGCACATATGGTCGGGAGGTTGTTTGGTTTAGGAAGTGTGACTATGAATGCCTCCAACATCTCTTTGGGGACGTCCCCTGTTTGTTTTGTGTAGTTGAAAAGTCTGGTGATGTGTGGAGCCAGTGTAGGACTGAATTTGTGGTAGTAATAGTTCGATAGTCCATCTGGGCCTGGAGACTTATGTTTTGGTATTGGTGCTATTGTTTTCCTCACCTCGTCCTCTGTGAAGGGTGCTTCAATTGTCTTTTTTTGTTCTGTGGTGAGAGTCGGGAGATGCATCTGGGCCAGGAAGGAGGTTATCTCTTCGTCAGTGAGTTGGTGCGTGTGTGGGTCCCTGTCCAGCTGGTATAGGGAGGTGTGGTATAAGGCTAATTCCTCTATGGTGCAGCCTTTTACACTGACCATTTAAACATTCTTTTTGTGGTGTAATCATTATTTTATGAAAAAGCCTATGTGAATCTTATAATTGGTAGATTGCAGGCTTATCACCAACTGGTGTCATCTATCAGCAGGCAAGGTGGGTCTTGAGAGCCTGGCCTTGAGAGCCTGGCAGGTGCTGTTTCTAGAGGAGATGAAGCCAGTTAATTTGTTCTGTCGTGGCAAGCCCGCCATCTGCCATTTACCTGATAGCCTCCTTTGTGGTTTTGGGGCCGGCGCTGGCTGGTCCGGCGAGCGGAATAATCCCCATTCTCTAAAAAGGCACAATCCGTCATCCGGTTCTTCTATCACGTAATTCTTGTTGTTCTTCCAGATAAGAATTTTGGTGGGATATCCCCAACGATACTGGATTCCATGGTAGGATTTTCGCAACCGAGATAAATTCTCTTCTGCTGCCCATTGTCAGTGCCGAGAGGTCCGCAAACAGTTGCACCTCTTGGAAAGGCTCCGGGAATTTGCTGGTGAGGCTTTTCGTAGCGAGTGGGTCAGTTAGAGCTGGGAGAACTAACTCCATGCGTCCACTCTGTTTGGCTGCTAGCCATGCCCATCAATGTCTCTTTTTTTAAAGGCCTATAAGTGGTAAAATTTGTTAAATTTAAAAATACTAATAAAAAAAAAAAAAAAAATATTAAAACAGAACCCATGTATTAACACAATATCAAAATATAATCCTAAATATATCATATATCAACACTAAAACCATATACACATTTCCATATTTAATAGGAAAAAAAGGGGGGGGGGGGCAAATATGAAATAAAATCTAAGCCTGGAAATAAATATATATTAATAATAAAAAAAGACCAAAATACACACATCTTAACAATTTGGCTATAAAAAAGTTTTATATATATATATATTCAGAGCAGATTCACATAACAATAAATCTTTATTATATACATTATAACTGAGTCTTGGGAGATTCATCAGAATCAGAAGAAACAACAAATTTTAATAGAGAAAACAATTAATTCATTCATCAACTCATCATGTCTGACAAAGCTCATTTTCATTTTAATGGCTTCATCAACAAGCAAAACTGTTGTTTCTGGGCACAGATAGTTCATGAGCGCCAATTGCACCCTACCAAATGACCTCACAGGGCCTTATAATGCAAAAATTCAAGCGTTATATCCTCAAACATTATTTAATATTGTTAATAATGCAGTCGAAAGAGCCAAACTTAGCGAGGCATCAAATGGAGCTCATTTAAAAGATGTAATCTTCCGTACCCAGTCAAACAAATCTCCATATGTTAAAGGAACACTATAAGGCCAGGCACACAAACATGTATTCCTGACCCTAATCTGTTAAAACCACCATCTAGCCTCCCTGACCCCCCTTACCTCCCTAAATATAGTAAAATCTTACTTGTATTCAAGTCTGTAGCTGCTGCCTCTGCCCCTGAACTGGCTCTGTCAGCTGACATCATCAGAAGTGGTGGTCTGAGCCAATCACAATGCTTCCCCATAGGATTGGCTGAGACTGTCAAGGAAGCAGATCTGGGGGCAGAGCCAGCACAAGTCAAACACAGCTCTGGCCAATCAGCATCTCTTCATAAAGATGAATGGAATCAAAGCATCTCTATGAGGAAAGTTCAGTATCTGCATGCAGAGGGTGGAGACACTGAATGGAAGTGCTACACACTAGGCAGGACTGCCCCAGGACGCACTTCTTGCAGCCATCTGAGGAGTGGCCAGTGAAGTTATGCATAGGCTGTAATATAAACACTGCATTTTCTCTGAAAATACAGTGTTTACAGACTGATTCAATAAGCTGTAGTTGTTCTGGTGACTATAGTGTCCCTTTAAAGGACCACTATAGTGCCAGGAAAACATACTTGTTTTCCTGGCACTATAGTGCCCTGAGGGTGCCCCCACCCTCAGGGACCCCCTCCCTTACCTTTTTTTCCAGCGCCGGACGGGGAGCTCTCCTCCTCCACCTCTCCTCCCTCTTCTCCTCCTCCTCTTCGGCTGAATGCGCATGCGCGGCAGGAGCCGCGCGCGCATTCAGCCAGTCCATAGGAAAGCATTCACAATGCTTTCCTATGGACGCTGGCGTCTTCTCACTGTGATCTTCACAGTGAGAAACGCGGAAGCCTTCTAGCGGCTGTCAATGAGACAGCCACTAGAGGCTGGATTAACCCTAACATAAACATAGCAGTTTCTCTGAAACTGCTATGTTTATAGGAAAAAGGGTTAATCCTAGCTGCACCAGGCACCCAGACCACCTCATTAAGCTGAAGTGGTCTGGGTGCCTATAGTGATCCTTTAAGCATTCATTGTATGTAATATCGTTGAAATTGGTTTATTATTAAAAAAGTTATTGACTCTTCAAACCCTACTCTGAATTTTGGCGTACCGTGATTAATAGTTCACATAAATTTAGCCAGCATGTTTTTTTTGAAGAACTCCAGGACTAACATGTTTCCAAAACTGTTGCAGTCTATTCTCCACACTCCATAATCATCCCTTCCCACCCCTCCTTTATTCCACTTGACTGATGTAACCTCTGATGTTACCTGTAGTTGCTATATCTGGGAACTGCTTGTGTGCAAAGGGTATCTACTATTTATTTGCTGATCAGTCTAATGTCCATTTATTTGTGTATTTTAGTGCTACCTACTCATCACGAATATGATGGTTTGCCAAATTTCTTTTGGCTTTCTACCTGAATTATTGTCCTTTATCACCACATAGAATCACAGTAAAATAACTGGTATACAAGAAAATAAATCAAGAAAGAATAAAGGTACAGCTATTTATTTTTAGGCTTACACGGAAAAAATAAAAAAAAATAATCTTATTCACTGAAGTA